TCTCTCTCTCCAAATAAGGCATGCATTGAAGCTATGGGAAAACATGCCTATCCAGTAGTGCGAGAATAGGTCCAGGATTTGAAACTGAAAATGGCTGCCGACATTGTCAATAGTGTGGGAGAAGCACACAACATCAAAGAGTTTTTGATAAAAAAACATCAGCTGTCTCAAGGCAGCTCCATTAACAGATGCGCCATCTCTTACAGCTCCAATGACTGTACTCGGACCAAGCTTATAATCCACAGCCAGGCAAGACATTAGTCGCTGAGCCAATTCTTCTCCTTTCAGTGACTTTGCAAGAATTTCCAGGCGTATGAGCCGCTGAGTAGGTATAAAGTTTTCCTGGACAAAGCGGATTATGATAACCAGAGCTTCACCCAATCTGGCTGTACCATCGAAAATTACACAAGCCTCTTTCACATCTTTGAGTTCTTCCTGCAGCTTGTCCTTCTCTTTTTCTAGTACTGCTGGAATAAGCTCGCCCAAATGGCCGCTGCTGGTTAACCGATGGCCATGCTTCTCTAGTAACGGTCGAAGGGCATCGATTTTCCCTATTGGTATACCACCATTGAGACAAGATTCAACAACTCCAAAACGAAACAATCGCATTTCCGCAGGCAAGGTTGAGCCAGGTGTACTTTCTCTCTTATCTCTCTTTTGCTGACATGCCATTATTGTCTGGTTTTGTGATTTGCTCTTTGCAATATCAGACAATCCCTTCTTGTGCTTTTTTGACTCAATATGTTTTTTGACTGAACTTTTCTTCAAAGAGAGTTCTTCATTACAAGCGTTACACCGCAATTTCCGGTCGATTACAGTAAAATGATGGTTGGGGAAATCCTTCAAACAATCCCAGGCAGTTGTATTGGCAATAGTTTTATTCCCCCTTTGATTGTACTTTCCTTGGTTGGTAGGAAGTTTTCTCTTACGTGCAATGTTAGCTTTTGCTGGAACACTAAGACTTGCACCAGCATTTCTTGCTGTCAAAATTGGATCTTGTACTTGTACTTGTACCTGCACATCTTCGTTGTCTGAATCTGATGAGTCAAAGGATTCGTCTCGGTCTGATAGGTTTTGTGTTTCGGCCATGCTTCAAATTAGCAATTTTAATTTAAAAATGAAGACGCCATTTTGTTTCTAGTGCTGAAAACTTACACAGGAAACCCTAGTAAATAATACCAATTACAAAGTAAAGGCTGACGCCTGTCAGTGACAGGTAGTTTGCTGTTTGACCGTAAAACTACCTGTCAGTGACAGGTAGTTTGATCAAAACACTATACTGCGATATTAAAACATTACACTGTAATAAATTATCATCAGAAAATGTTTTTTATATTATCATTTATCAAATCTTTTAATTTTTTGGCTAAAATGATTGATGATTTATACAGTAAACCTGCAATTTGCAAAAAAGTTGCTCTGAAACGCAAATGTTGCTTGAGGTTACTAAAACCGAAAAAAGTTGCTCCAGACGCCAAAAGTTGCTAAAAAGTTGCCGAGCACAATCGGGGAGGGCCTAAATAGAACTTCTTGGTAACAATGTTGCTAGTAGACGTTTAGTTAACAATTAATAAAGGGTAGCCTACACAGCCTACAGGGAAAACCTTTTGCCACCAAAAAAGTAATTTACTAGCTCTTAAACTATCAGCCCAATATATTTCTAGCGAAGTATGTTCCTATATATAAGATATTTCTTCTTATTATGTATATAGTGGATATGTAGTGAGATACTGAAAAACACAGTCACAGTAAGATATTTTCAAGTGTTTACTGCAAGTTGTCATTTCGCAAAAAAATGGCGAGATTTGTGAAAGTGACGAACGAAGACATTAAGCCGTTTATTGGGGAGCGAGAAAATGGAAATACCAAAACTAGAAGAACGTTTTATACGTACATCATGAACGTATTCCTTCTGTCGCTCGTCAACGAGAACGAAAGTAGAAAAATTGAAGAAACTAATCGTTTTCAAAAAAGTTTTTACTATATAGGGTTGAATACAGTATAAACGATTTTCGTCTTTGTTTATGCCTATATGTTATACGTCTTTTTTTAAGAACAATACACGGCGGCTTGACATATGAATTTTATCTTCTCGAAAATTGTTTTTACTACTCGAAGATAAAATTCCTATACCTTCGCGCCGTCGTTATATGTTTTGTAAGAGATATATGTAATATGATCTAAAGCATGTATTCTTTGATTTCATGTGTGTACTTTTTATTGAGTGTCTAAAGGCGGTTTTCCACTAGGCGGAATTTTTCGACCGAATCGAAATTTCTCTTTGTTTCAGAGCTCTCGAGCAGAACTAATTGTAAAAAGACAAAGAGAAATTTCGTTTCGGTCGAAAAATTCCGCCTCGTGGAATCCGGCCTTTAGTACCGGTTTCGTACCTATTCAGGAAAGGTTTTTGTGGGGTTAATAGGTTCTTTAAAATGACAAATAAGAAATATTTATTGAACTCCTTGGTAACTAGCCTGCTCACAGGCTCTATTATATAGAGCCTGCGACTTTTATTGATATTTTTTCAATACGCCCCCTTTGAGATAATTGAATATCCGGTAAATGTAGCCAATAAGAGCAAGTTTTGTTAATTAGATTATACAAGAGGTTATTAACAACAACAAACAGTTTCTCGCGCAATTTTACGCCTGTATCTTTCACTAGGATTCCAAGGTCTAAACTTTAATCTAAAATAATTCATGGTCGTTTTTTCCCTAAAGTGTTCTAATATTTAAAACATAGTCCCAGTTGTATATTGCTTGTCTTGTTCGTACATTGCCGTTTTAAATTATGTAACTATA